AAATAAAACAAAACAAAAAAATATATATATATATATATATATATATATATAAATGACAAATACATAACAAAATTACAAAAATAAATAACTAAACGAAAGCTGAAAATATAAAAGCTAATTGAAAATATTAATAAAAACTATAATAGTATATACATAGGTCCTTATTGCAGTTTAGTAGTTGCAATTTTTAGTTTTGTTCCTTTGCTAAATTGTATTTTATTTATTTCTGTTATATAAATTATGTGACCCTGGAGCACAAAAGCAGTCTTAAGTCGCTGGGGAATATTTGTAGCAATATTCATAAACCCGTGAATGTGTGTGTTCAGCCGAATTGTTGGTGGAACAGTGAGCCTCAGTTGTGTAGGCCGTGTCAGTGCAGCGCTCGGGGCTCCGTGTCCCAGCGCTGTGACTCTGAGGGCAGGTGCATCTGTCGGGCCGGATACGTGGGCCGCAGGTGTGACCTCATGCGCCCGCCTCACGTCCACAGGGAGACCCGGCGACCCGTCCAACAGGTTCCCATCCAACACATCGAGAGATGGGAAAGCAGAGGGGGCTGCCCTCGAGGGGCGTATCGCCCCGGCACAGGGGTAAACGCACGGCATGATGGGTGCACAGGATCTGTGTGCATGTGTGCGGCTTCCTGTGACAATCAACATCTAATATGAGTGTAACAAGTGTAAGAGTGTTCAAAATAATACACATTATACACATAACATTATAACTTGTTTTTTGTTGTTGTTTTTTTGTTTGTTTGTTTTTTTTACTTCTGCTCAAATCAGCTGTTTTTGAATTTTGCCTGTTTTATTTAGATTAACTTCACCATTGATGCAGTTCACTCCTCTTTACAGTTTACCAGCCAGGGCTACTATATCAATATCTATTAAAATATTTTTGTCAATTGAAATAAAGCTAAAATGAAATGTTAAAATTAGATCTTTAAATGAAAATGTAACTAACTGAAACATTATTTTTGTAACTGGAAATAAATGTTATGAACTGGATATAAATATAAACTAAAACTGAAATATAAATAAATTAAACCTATATAGTAATATTTAAAAAATAACTAACCAACTAACTATAT